TTTTTTCACAGCAGCGTCCCAAAACGATCTCCTAATTCGTGGATTTTCTGCTACCTGATCACGTGGCACGTGATATACATGAATGAAGACCAGCTGTAGAGATGTGATGGGAACTCTCACGGTGCGGAGCTTGTCCCGACGCCCACCCCGTAAAAAAAAGGCAGTTGATGACTTTAGTCGTCAATAGCAGTAAATGAGTTAAAGACCCTTTGGGTTAAATGAGAACGTTTCCCTTAGATCTGGATCATCCCAGAAATCCCTTGACACTATAACGCAGCCGTTTCGGATGCATCAATGATTGTTGCCATTTTCCTCTTTGCCTCCCTCTGTCCACTTCGGTTTTTACGCTGCTTTGTTTTCTATTTTATATCTGCCATGATCGTTCATGGCTTCACAGCCCAATACGGCGCTATGTCATGCTCACAAGTGCCTTGATTTCAGTGCCTTGCCAGGGTTACCTAGAGCTTTGCGTTCATCAGAAAGTGGGTATGAAGGAGATGTGATCCAAACATACCCAAGCTCATTTCTGGGATGGGTGTGATTTATAAAGCAGGAGTTGCATGCAGCTGCGTATGCAGTGTTTAATAGGTTGGAAAATGAGTTTGCTGACATAAGTTTTTTTTTCTTTTTGCAGAGCTTAGGGTTTTATTAAGGATTCTACGCAAAATTTTATAAAAGAGACCCTTGATTTTTTATAGAAGGTTGGAGTTTTTGTGGCAAACGACAGACTTCTGGAGAAGAGAGAGCACTACTTTGATTATAAGGACAGTAATTTTAAAGTATGCCCAATTACAACAATATTCAGTTACAGCTGTGATACTCATCTGTCGCTATTCATTCCTGGATTCTTAAATCCCCTAGAACAAGGTAAACCAGAACCCATCAGAGCAACTGACCTTCTTACATTGGTCTATAATTAAAGGGGCATTATGGAAGTTTGACAGCCAAAACATGTGTAGAAATAATAAATGTCTTCTTCATACATTCTCCTGCAATGCCCTGGTCCTGTAGAATGAGCCCTGGCATTTTTACTGTGATTGCCTGTTTTTCTGTAAAATCACAGAAAAAGAGAGATGCTCGGGTCGAGCAGGCTGCTTCATGCACGTTCACGCTCAGGCATAGCCCGTAGCTTTAGCAGCAGAGTGAGGTAGTGCCAACTCAGCGACTTTGTTGCTGTTCCTAAACGCCTAGTGATGAACCTAGCTACATTTCTGAGGACCCTTAGCTACTTTCTTCTAGATATTTCCTGCAAATTAAGAACAAAATAGCCATTTTCGCTCCGAACTGTTCTTTGAACGTTGTTTCAGCTGTCTTCAGGATATAAATATTACAGATACAAAAGACATCACTGGCACTTTAGCTCACCTAGTAAGATGTCGCACTCTCGAGCAGAAGATCTGGGTTTGATTCTGGATGTGAACATAGTTTATTTAGAGTTTCTTTTTTACATTAATGGTATTTTTATTTTACAGTAAGATGCCCAAATTTTTATTTGAGACTCGCCGAACGGCATTGAATTCGCAGATAAAAAAGATGTGGGTTCAACTTTCATTTTGGAACAATTTTTCAAGCAAGGGAAGGGAATCATCTGAGCATGCAGGAGGACTGGCCCATCTTAAACCTTTGTCGGCTGTGCTGAAGAGAAAGGTACAGAACCACATAATTTAATTAATTAGCTGCGCATTCTCCTGTCCTCTGTCCTCCGGGCCACACACACACACACACACACACACACACACACACACACACACACACACACACACAGACACACACACACACACACACACACACACACACACACACACACACACACACACACACACACACACACACACACTGTTTACGTACAGCATGCGCACCTCGTGCACGAGCCTACTATTGAAGCTGCCGTTACGTTTTTGGCCTGAGGGGGCAATAGCGAGCATAAAACTTCAAACGTCCGTAAAGTCCCTTTAAACATGAACGTTTTTGCTAATTTAAGCCTTTTTTAATTAACCACAGAGAAAAATATTTTCCATAGGCTGAAAAGCAGTTCGGTTCACTGCTAACTTTGTTCTTTTTATACAAACACACATGGTGTAGTTTCTGTTATATCAACTAATGTGAGATGGATGAAATGGAAATTATGGTAAAAGTATTTTACAAATATTTTATGTAGCACATTTGTTAACGCTTTACCCTTTGTTTACAATATTTTTTATTATTATTTATTTTAACATAACTGGAGGCTAGAAGTGTCTGGTTGAGGTCGGTGGTGGCGGGTCGCTTGCTCTGCATTTGGCGGGGTGAGGGTCAGGGTTCTGACTGATCATTATTACCAGAGTAAGAACAAGACCAGCTCTAGTGTCCAGGAATGGTTGTGCACTCTGTGCAGTAGTAGGACCAGAGTGAGTGGGATGTTCATGGGTAGCATGAGTGGGTGTATAACATACATTCTTGTGTGTCTTTAGGTTGAATGTGTGCATCTGTAAGCATGCGGGTTAGAGTGTGTGACTGTATCTGTCACCTGGGTTCTTGGACTCCTCCATTCTCCTAGAACTTGTGCTACAACATCCTCACCTACCCTTCTGTAGCCACATTTCCTGCTGGTGGGTGATGCGTCAGTCTGCCTGCAGTGCATATTCGCAATTTTAGCATCTGCCGGCTTGCTCCCAGTGGCTCCCTTTGTGGGTTCTGGGTCCCTGGGCCCTGTCGGGTCTCCGCCAGGGTTAGGTGCCCCAGGGTCCTGGGCTGCTGAGTTCCAAACTCAGCATGCCCTGGAGTGGGCAGCTGTGGGTGGGCCTGGGGCCCTGCTATTATTATCCCCTGGGCCTCTAGCATGGCTGCTGGTTTGCACCTCTCGAGGGTGGGGCAGTCTCCCTGGGGTCTCCATCTTCTGGGGGAGATCTCAGAAGGGGATATTAGCATATATATATATATATATATATATATATATATATATATATATATATGTATATATACAGTGGGGCAAAAAAATGTTTAGTCAGCCACCGATTGTGCAAGTTCTCCCACTTAAAATGATGAAAGTGGTCAGTAATGTACATCATAGGTACACTTCAACTGTGAGAGACAGAATGTGAAAAAAAATCCATGAATTCACATGGCAGGATTTTTAAATAATTTATATGTAAATCAGGGTGGAAAATAAGTATTTGGTCAATAACAAAAAATCAACTCAATACTTTGTGACGTAACCTTTGTTGGCAATAACAGAGGTCAAATGGTTACTATAGGTCTTTACCAGGTTTGCACACACAGTAGTTGGTATTTTGGCCCATTCCTCCATGCAGATCTTCTCGAGAGCATTGATGTTTTGGGGCTGTCGCCGAGCAACACGGACTTTATACTCCCTCCACAGATTTTCTATGGGGTTGAGGTCTGGAGACTGGCTAGGCCACTCCAGGACTTTCAAATGCTTCTTACGGAGCCACTCCTTTGTTGCCCGGGTGGTGTGTTTGGGATCATTGTCGTGTTGAAAGACCCAGCCACGTTTCATCTTCAAAGCTCTCAGTCAGTGCGTTTACATGCAGCCAGTAACCCTTTTAAAACCCGAATATTCGCAATAACCCGGTTCCGCAGGTCCTTGTAAACACCGCCAGAAACCCGGATATGCTCATAACCGGGTTTTTAAAAACCCGGTTACTACACCTGGAGTAAACCTTTTCTAACCCGAACGTTTGGTCGTGTAAACGCATAACGGGATATCCCCATCAAAACGTGTGTTCGGCGCATGCTCTGTTCGCAAGGAATCTTGGTCTTCTGAGTAGCGAGACGTCTTGTATGCGCCAGAACACCGGAAGTAAACAAGTTGGGAGCAACATGGCGAGTCGCAGCCGGCACAGCACCACACTTTTGGAGTGACGAGGAAACCTCTGTGTTCATCGGTCTGGTTCATCTTGAAGGAGAGGATGATGATGATGTTATGGATGAAAACACAGGTAAGTCACATGACTTTCTCAATCCAATACGTATACCAACAAAGGGTTTCGCTCTCGGAGTTAGATACATGCGTCGACCCATCTGTGTTGTTTAACCTATCATTAACATCTTTTTTAACATCAAGCTGTAACATTTTGCTTGTTTTTATTTCTGGCCGGATGCAGATATTGGAGAAGGTGGACCTTCAATGACTGTGCCTTGCCAGTCTACACAGCCATCAAATCCCACTGCAGCTACTCCTGGTGAGCTTTCTAAATACTGTTACTAAAGGTATAACTGGTTATAGCGTATTGTAACCCCAGGTCACTCCTCCTCCTTGTGTAATGTCTGAAAATAGTACCTTTCTTTAGTGGATAATTTGATTACAGTGATTATGAGATATTATGTAATATAATCGTTGACCCAAACTAAGGACTATTGTCACTTTTGCATTCTTAGTAAACTCAGAATTGTATGAAGATGTTTGTTTATGACGAAGGCGCAGGTGACAATCTGACACATGCCAGCTAAAGGTAAAGAAACATCTTCTAGAATCCACAAGTGTCATAAGAATGCAAAAAGTGATAATAGTCGAACACTAAGAGAGAACTTACCCAACACTTTCTAAGGCCTGTCATGTCTGCTCTAGGTGGGTCAAGTCGCAGGTCCAGGCACCGTGAAGCCGCTTCACTTACTCAACATCAACAGTTCATGGAGAGAATGCAGCACACGCAGAAGCAATGGTTTGAGCAGCAAAGGCAGTTGAGACATGCCAGTGATGAGGCACTCACGTCTCAAATGATTTCTGAATCAACCTCACATTTAAAAAGCAAAACCAAAATGTTATTTTGTTATGTGCTTTATTAAAGAACAAATGTTTTTTTTAAACTTACTAGAAAACTTGTATGTGTTGACATTTTATTTGAACATTGCATATACCTGTTCTTTTTCAGAGGTGCACAGCAACAAAGGAGAAGGCAGATAAACATCTTTTAAAACTTAGAAAATAAAGCGTTTTGAAAAGTATCGAGCTTACAGTTTAAAGTTGTTTGTTTCCTATCAGACCCGTTCGTCCTGCACACTCACGCTTTTACTAAGCGCTTACGGAGTGGGACACGTGCAGCAAGGTAATCTGTTAAGGCCCGTCTGATAGCTGAGGGTGCACTGTTATCAGCCCTATTGACCTGTGACACAGGCTGTGGAAACAGCCTTTCTACTGATGTGGCCTCCTCTGCCCAACTGGGATTAACATGCTCCTTCTCCATCTCACAAAAGTTGTGTAGAGCACAACAGGTTGCTACCACGTATGGTGTGAAAGTGAAATGGAAGTCACTGCGCTTCAACAGAACACGGAAACGAGATTTCAGTCGACCAAATGCTATCTCTATACTTGTTCTAGCAGAACTCAAATAGACGTCGAAGCTTTCCTCTTGTGGTGTCAGTCTTGGGGACTGCAGATAGCCCTTCATTAGCCAGGGCATCAGTGGATAAGCAGGATCTCCCAGCGGGAAGAAATCCACATCCTGCCCCTCGATCTGCACTGCTCTCTAAAGTGGGACAGATAGAAATATTATTCTTCCTTAATTATGTCATAATACATCTTAGATATGTGGCAGGTATACAACTTGCATTTAAATACCAAAAGTTTTAATGCATTACCCACCTTTGGGAAGGATTGTGCATTGTTGATCAGATTGGACTGGCGGAGTGCATTGGCGTCATGTGCTGAACCAGGCATGTTGCAGCTCACACTCCAAAAACTATGGAAAATGTATCACAGTGAATCAAGATGTAGTGGGAGCGGTGTGATTAGTGGCAAAAAGTTAGGAAAATTATTTCAGGTCAGTAATGACATAATTATTTGTACATATAAGCTGTTGGTGTTTTTTTGAACAGAGAACCTCTCAATTGATGTTTGTGAGTGGTTCTAATATAGCTTAGTGATGTGTGTCTGTCAACATTATATATAAATCATAATCATGAATACAAAAGCTGGGAATGGCAAAACACCTACCAGTATTTGTCATCACAGACTCCCTGGAGGACATAGGATGGCCATCTCTTCCTGTTCATGAAGTTTCTGTAGCCATCACTTGGAGGCATGCAAGGGATGTGGCTCCCATCCACACAACCTATGATAAAAAGTTTAAAAAAAGAAAGAAAAAGTATGCACACAGCAGTGTAGCCTACATACATAGTATAGTTCACATTTAGCCTACTCTCAGAAAACTACTGACATTAACAAGACTTAAGAGCAGGAAATAGTTTACCTATGATTTGAGGAATGGAGTGGGCACGTTCAAATCTTTCTGCAATGCCACATGCCTCCTCCAAAGTGGGTACCCGGATCAGTGCTTTGATGACTTGAGTCGACCATTCTGTGGCAGAATAGGTACACCATCTTCTTCACGGTGCTCTTGTGCACTCCAAATTGGTTTGCTATCAAACGACACTCTGCACAGCTTGCTAGTTTATACAGCACCATGGCAACGCGCATTTCTGTAGGCACTGGTGTGCGGATGGTTACTACACTGGGCTCCATCACTCTTTCCATCATACCACAAAGTTTAGCAAAAGATTGACGTGACATACAAAAATTCTCACGCCAATCCGTGTCCGTGAACTCCATCATTACAACCCGCTCCCACCAGTCCTGACTGCGCACCTTCATCCAATGTGTCCGCGGGGCTCTGGTGGTAACGGGTACGTCGATATGTTGGATATGTTTAGCGCAGCTCTCTCTATATTTGCAATTTCTTGCTCACATACTCTCCTTCGAATGAAGGCCAGTACGCACAGTCGTTTTAGTGCTCTCGCTATCTCTTCCAAACTGAGAAACATGTTGTTGTTTTCATGGATACCGGAACAAGATGAACTGGAAATGACGCATATTGCGTATTGACGTTGTAAGGTTATGAAGTTCATTCGTTGGGATTACTGTCAACTGCTCTTCCCTTTTTGTGGATTACGATAAGTACTCTTTCAAGGTTCGATTTTTATTTGGAATATTACCCTGCCTGCGGATACAACAATCGATTTTTAATTGGAATACTACCCTGTTCGTGGATACGTTCAAGATTTGCTCCTGCTTTGCTTTCTTGCCCGTGAGGATATAAAGTTGCTGTTGCTTCGTTTATAGCTTCCATGGGGAATAATTAATAACCTATTGACTTGTGTTCTTCCTGAGGAGTATGCAAGACTGTTCTCCGGCGTGGGGTTCGTACCTCACCACGGATGGCTGTTCCCTTGGGATCGCATCCGGTTCTGTTGTCAAGATTCTTCATAACTTGGGTTTGTTCAACGACCAAGTGGTCTCTTGAAGGACCACATTGACCTTGAAAAGGGGGGATATGTAAGGTTATGAAGTTCATTATTTTCAGCTCCACACAGCTGCCCCTGTGCGCAGTAACACCCGTGTATAAAAGCCAAGGTCGGGTGTTCCTCAGACTGTTTACATTTCAGGAGAAGAGTCCGAAGGAGAAGAAGAACGCTTTTACTTAATCAAAGTACTTTATTTGTGATTAAACAAATTAAGCAAAACATATGTTGATCAATAATAATCAAGTGAATGATTTATGTGTTTAATGAAAACAGGACTATTGCACAGACAGACTGATCCTCATCTCCATAGAAACGCATGACACATTGTTCCAACCAATCAGAGCTTTCGGCTGCCGCAGGAGAATCTGGCTTGTTGACTTAAAGTGTCCAATCAGCTTTAATAAAACTTATCAACAATTCAGAGATATAAAACAAGGCAACGCCATTTTAAGCTCAGTTCCATTTTGACTTCAGTTCTATTCACCGTCATCCCAAGAAAAGCACAGCCTGGCCAGATGTGTTTTCTTCTTTAAACTAAGAACTGTGAAGTTGTAGATTTTCGTTGTTTAACAACCAGACGACATCCTTTCAAAATAAGAGCACCTGCTGACGCTGCCGATTGGTACCGGGGTCGACCCTCCAGACGGGCTTTGACGTGCTGCGACCGCTGCTCCGACAGCTCCAGCACACATCCGAGGTTCTTGGACCTGGCATTTCCTGATCTACCTGGGAGGCCCCCCACTGGGTACGTACACGGCAAAATAGCAGCTCATGTCATCACTTTATAAGCCTCGTGATATCTAGTCATAACAAAGACTACCAGATTCAATGACGTTAGCCTAAGGAGTCTGAACCAACCACACACACACAACACACACGCACCAACACAACATCCAAATCCATTTTCATCCATCACAGAGTTAGTCCTGGTAGATTGTTAAGAATTTATAATTAAGAAATTAAAGATTCTCAAACGATCCCAACTCTCTCTCTTTTCTTGTCTCAAAGTCAATACAGAGTGTTTAATTAAACTCCCTGATGATAAAAACAGCCTATTCTTCTGATTATAAAAAGTGATCTACTTACAGTGTATTAAAATACCACTCTAGATAGTTACATCACTCTATTCCGTTACAACGTCGTCCATACGTCCTGACGCTACAGCAACGTCCGCATTGAAAACGGGTTATTCAAATTAGGGTTTACTCTGGCTTGTAAACGGGTTACTCTGATCAACTCAGAAACCCGAATACCGACCTTAACCCAATCATAACCCGGATATAGGCTGCATGTAAACGTACTCAGTGATGGAAGGTTTTGGCTCAGAATCTCACGATACATGGCCCCATTCATTCTGTCCTTAACACGGATCAGTCGCCCTGTCCCCTTAGCAGAAAAACAGCCCCAAAGCATGATGTTCCCACCCCCATGCTTCACAGTAGGTATGGTGTTCTTGGGATGCAACTCAGTATTCTTCTTCCTCCAAACACGACGAGTTGAGTTTATACCAAAAAGTTCTACTTTGGTTTCATCTGACCACATGACATTCTCCCAATCCTCTGCTGTATCATCCATGTGCTCTCTGGCAAACTTCAGACGGGCCTGGACATGCACTGGCTTCAGCAGCGGAACACGTCTGGCACTGCAGGATTTGATTCCCTGCCGTTGTAGTGTGTTACTGATGGTGACCTTTGTTACTGTGGTCCCAGCTCTCTGCTGGTCATTCACCAGGTCCCCCCGTGTGGTTCTGGGATTCTTGCTCACCGTTCTCATGATCATTTTGACCCCACGGGATGAGATCTTGCGTGGAGCCCCAGATCGAGGGAGATTATCAGTGGTCTTGTATGTCTTCCATTTTCTGATAATTGCTCCCACAGTTGATTTTTTCACACCAAGCTGCTTGGCTATTGTAGATTCATTCTTCCCAGTCTGGTGCAGGTCTACAATTCTTTTCCTGGTGTCCTTCGAAAGCTCTTTGGTCTTGGCCATGGTGGAGTTTGGAGTCTGACTGTTTGAGGCTGTGGACAGGTGTCTTTTATACAGATAATGAGTTCAAACAGGTGCCATTAATACAGGTAACGAGTGGAGGACAGAAAAGCTTCTTAAAGAAGACGTTACAGGTCTGTGAGAGCCAGAGATTTTCCTTGTTTGAAGTGACCAAATACTTATTTTCCACCCTGATTTACAAATAAATTCTTTAAAAATCATGCCATGTGAATTCATGGATTTTTTTCACATTCTGTCTCTCACAGTTGAAGTGTACCTATGACGAAAATTACTGACCTCTGTCATCATTTTAAGTGGGAGAACTTGCACAATCGGTGGCTGACTAAATACTCTTTTGCCCCACTGTATATATATATATATATATATATATATATATATATATATATATATATATATATATATATATATATATATATATATATATATATATATATATATATATATCCCCTTCTGTAATGCCAGAGTTCTAAATGTCATGGGCACTTTACTGTCCTGACCTTATCAAACACATTTATGGTGCATGTAAGGGCAAACTTCAAGTATTCAAGATTAGTGCTGGACCTCATTAATGCTGCTGTGGCTAAATTTAAGCTAATCCCTTCAGCTGTTTTTCAAAATGTGAAAAAAATATATATATGTATATATATATATATATGTATAAGTATATATATATATACATATATATATATATATATATATATATATATATATATATATATATATATATATATATATATATATATATATATATATATATATATATATACATAAACACCCAAGAAGGACTGGCTGGTTGGACTGACTCCCAACATTCCTGTTTCATGTTTGGGTATCCACATTCACACCAACACAAACATGTTGGCGCTCCCAGCTGGATATTAGATGTCATGTCACTCTACCACTCACACACACACACATGTTTTAGTTCCTCTTACATTAACTAATGGTGGATGGATGCTTCTATGTATCACCTCAACAACACAAAACCTAAACAAGGTCAGACTCTTAAAAAAATCATCACATAAACGGGAGGAAAAATGCGGAGGGAATCCTTCTGTCCTTGAGAATTTTTCAAGGACAAACCTGTTGAGGTGTGTGCAGAAGCAAAACAGACAAGACAGAAATGTAAAAAAAAATTAAATAAATAAATTAACAAGCAGAAATGATGCATGGCTCTATAATGCCTGTAATATGTTGTAGGACAGCCAGTGCTCCAACAGCAGAGTGAGAGAAATAAACGGGAAGGGTAGAGGGAGGGGAATACAGAGGAGGGAGGGGGCGTTAGAGGATAAATCCTTACTACATAATGATTAGAGCTCACAAGCCCATCCTGTGACATGGAATGTAGGAGTCAGGATTACAGCCGGCCCTTGAAGCTAGAGTTACAGCGCTGCTGATGTTGGAAGGAGGGATGCAGGTGGGAAAAAGAAAGAACAGACAAGCAAACACCTCCGAACAACAAGTGCAGCTTAGTAAAGACAAAACCAGGCTAACGAGGTGTGTTTCAAGAAGGCCATGAAGAGGATCCAAGAATTCCAAAAGTCCAGCTGCTGACTCACAACTGGACCCCTGCTCTGACCATCTGTCGCTGGCCACTGACAGCCTCGTCCCGGGCAGCTGGATCATTTCTCAGAGTCTTAATTTGATGGAGTGGCTGCAAGAGCGCTACTCGCACCAGAGGGCAAAAGAGGGAGGCAGGGAAACGGAGATGAGGGTCACCCTGCAGAAACTCTGATAGATGGGACGCCCAGTGTGGACAAACATCTCACTCAGAGATGGACTGAAGCTGCATCTTCATGAGCTGGCAGAGATGAAGGAACAGCCTGAAGAGCAAAAACTTTAGGACGGTCTTTGTGCTCAAATAGAAAATGGATTAACCTTAGAGTTTTTTTTAGGTCTCACTTCCCAGATGATGGAAATTATTTCTTCCTTAGAGGTGAGCAGCTGATAAGGACATTAAAAAAAAGATACCACTTTACTCTCGCTTTGGTCCTCAGAGCACTCTGGGACATCTCACCTGAAAGTCTCCTTCTAAGCAAGCTGTCTCAACTTACATCTGGAACATTCAGCCGGCAGCACAAAAGCAACGGTGGAAAACCACATTTTTTTATTTGCCTTGTTCCTCTTTTTCCTCTTCCTCATTCTCTGGCACCTGCTCATCTCCATCACTTCCATTCTCCTCCTCCTCCTCCTTCCCTCCTCCCCTTGTACCAGCGAGCGATAATGTGACCTTCTGCCAAAGTGCGGGAAACCATGCCACCGTCGCAGCGGGCTCGACTGTTGCTGCTACTGAAATAGACTCAAACAAGTGCAGGGAGAGGAAGAGGAAGAGGGGAGGGCGAGGAAGAGAAGAAGGGCCAAAAGGGAGAAAAAAGAACAAAGAGAAAAAAGGGAAAAGAGACAACCTGGAAAAAGCACAGCTGAAGGCGTAGAGACGGGATGAGTGGTGACGAGGCAGGGCTAAATGTGGATTTTCATCACAGGTAAAAGATCTTTTAACACTTTGTTTACTGTGTTTCCCTATCACTCAGTTTTAATGACAGTTTTTGGAAAAGAAGAATCTATTTTCAGGTCTTTAGTTCTAAAAGCAAGTGTGAACTGTGAGGAAGTTTTCATTAATGCTCCCTTTATCGCTTCCATTATTCTATCGTAAGAGAAATGATCAGAGAGCAGACAGAGGACCAGATCGGAAGGCAGAGCCCGATAGAATCCCTGTCATGATGTCTTTGGTTTTAGTTTAGTTGTAGTTGTGTGAGGTGGCTGTAACTGTTGCTTTAACTCACTCACCTCCTGGGAAGATTGAGCCCAGTGGATCATTGCCTCACTAGAAACACTTGGAGCAGCTGAGAGGGGCATTTTGATACCTGCCCACCGGACCTGAGATGTTGCTGCAAGGAAACTGGACTGCCACTAAAAGTTTCTCTGTTAAAAAGCTGAGAGGTTCCTGTGAATACAAACAGATTTGATCTCACACTTTTGCTTAGTAAATACAAACAGCCTAGTTTCTAATAATGATAAAGCATTCACATGGCCGCAAACTAAACAGCAACAAGAGTGCAGGGCAGAGGAAAAGTCACCTCATGAAATCTGCAGTGGTATTAATGAATGCCTTGGGTGTAAATTTATGAGGAGAAAAAGCTTTGGCGCTCATGTTAATAGAAGTAGAAGTTAGCCGGAGCAGAAAGAAGCGGAAAACATCCGTATTTGGAGTCTTACTCATTAAAATTTATGATTTTTTTAATCCCTCGCCTCTATTGGCTAACAGAAACACGACTCTATTGCTGCCTCCATTTGCTCTGCTATGTTTTATCTCCACAAACATCACACACCTAAAGCAGATCTGCCATGATGTGTAGCTGTTATTGCTAATGGTTAGCTTCTACTAGCCGAGATGTGCTCTGCTCTCTCCAGGCTACAAAAATCAGCACAGCCTTCCCCGGTCGCAAGCCAAGATGGGTCAATTCATGAATGCTAATTTATAATGTGACATAAATCTGTGTGGCTTTTTCTGAATCAACTGTTTCCCAGTCTATTTTATTCTGGTGGTGAATTCAGGAAAAAATTTGTAGAAGACCATTTTATATATATATATATATATATATATATATATATATATATATATATATATATATATATATATATATGTATATATATATATATATATATATATATATATATATATATATATATATATATATATATATATATATATATATATATATATATATATTAGGGGTGGTATTGGATTAAAAAAGTAATCTAATTAATTAGAGGCTTTGTAATTAATTAATCTTAATTAATCGCATTTTTATCGTTCAGGAAAATGTACTCTCAAAGCAATTTTTTTGATGAAAAATAATGAGACAGAGAGTCAAACATTAGACATGGTTATTGTGGTAAACTAAAGCTTTCAATTTCTAAAAAAAATGCATCTAGCTGCTACTTACCACCTGGTAAGATTTATGGTGGTTCTTCCCTCCTGGATGAATTATTCGAAGTTCGCAAAACTTGCAGCCATTTTACACATGTCTGGTTTGATGATGCACATTTGTATTCCTGGACATACTTTCACACAAAACCTAAAATAATTTTAGCAACTGTTCAAAAATAAGCGCCTTCTTAGCATCAGGATGTGTCGTTACAACTCATGGACATCATATGTGAAATCCAGGGGACAAAACAAACAAGATTAGAAATTAATTTATTTAGCTCCAATGACTTAAATTCACTTTTTTGTTCTTCCGGGGACCCATGGTCCAGAAGTAGATGGGCGTGACGTAGGCTCTCTATGACGTCTTTGTGATTAAATAAAGTATTTTTCAATTGAATTAGAATTTTTCTGTAACCGCAACGTGATTAACTGAAGATAAATCTGGGGTTTGACATGCCTCTACTTAGAAAAAGGATGACATGGTTCTTTATGATTATAAGGCAACTTTATTTCAGCATTGTATTAAATAAACATACTTGCAATGTTCAAATAAGGCATATATTTTGTCTTTGTAATCATCCTGCAGACCAAACCATCCTGTCTTTGACCTTCTAAACAGGTAGTTTTCAGGCAGGATCAATAAGCACCAGTTACAGGTAATACTTTTGATTAAATCCTCAGTTCCACAGGTAGAGTCTGAAGAAACCACCGCGTTTTCCATTCACTGGTTTTACCAAAGCATAAATGAGAATGGGAGTGAGACCGTGTGAGCTGTGCAGCACCAGTTAGGCAGGTGAAAAATGACTGTTCATTATGTCACACCAACCATATCCCGCTTGCAGTAATTGGATGTATGCATGTGAGTGCAATCCGAGCAGCCACATGCACATGCACGTTTGTGCACGTGTAAGGGGAAAAAGAAAGTAAAGTGAACGAAACAGAGATACAATCTCACACAAAGATTACTGCACAAGGTGGCACACCAAGAACCATGATGGACGAATTTGCAGCTGGACGTCAGGCTGAGGCACAAACTGATCAATAACAGCTGATGCACCCAGTGATTAAACTGCGTTTTTCAACTGATGCTGTACTTATCACATGTCCAGCTGCACACACACACACACACACACACACACACACACACACACACACACACACACACACACACACACACGCACACACACACACGCACGCACACACACACACACACACACACTGATTGTGAGGACACACTGTAGGCAAGGCGGCTGTACATTGGCATCACTGGTCCTTCCGAACACCACCAGTGGCCAAAAACGATTAAGTGTCTTGCCCAAGCACACAAGGACTGTGACAGTCAGGACTCAAACCTGCAACCCTCCGGTTACGGAACAGGCACGTTCAGCAACTGCCGCCCCCTAACAATAACACGATAATCAAATGTAAGTCTTTGTCACGAAATAACTATAAAAGGAGACTTCACGATCATTTATCATTTGATACACATCGCCTGAGACCCTTTCATTTCAACTAATACTTTTAAAAATCGCTCAGGGGAAAATAATCCGATCACGTCATCAACATTTCCTGCTTTTATAGTTTTCTTTGGAAACGATGTATTGATTTTTGTTTAAATAAATAATGTCCAGAAAAATGAAAACCATCTCTCATCCTTTCACTAGCTTGTTGGCTTTATAGAACTGGTGAAGTGCCATAAGGTTTGGTTTTTTAGAGGATCTCTGGTTTAGAGGATCATTTTGACACTAGAGCATAAAAAAAGTGCAACAAATTAAAAAAAAAGACAGACCGCATCTTCTGACAGCCCCCAGAACATTGTGTGCTGCTTTTTGTTGGTGCGATTTCTTTGGATGCATCTCATAAAGTCAGAGTGCTAGTTCCTTTTGGACATTAAGAGACCCTCCTGATAATTGTCATCATCTGTCATAGAGACGCTCCTCAACGCGCCGTAGCTCAGGGCTAATAGTGAATAATAAAGATGCACACCTGAGAGCAAATAGAAAATGATAGTTCTAATCAATTTTCTGTGCTACAAATTGCATATGCATCCACCCGCACCACACATGCACCAACACTCAGGTTGGTGTCAGCCATTTAAGAGGGAGAAGAATGACATGGAAAAAGAGGCACTGCCTGCCCCTCCTCCCCTCTTGGTGTACGGCGTGTCAGTTTGCCTTCTCAACGGGGACAGGACGATAGACGGGTGCAAGCAGTGCTGCACCATGAATATAAAGTCCTTAGGAGTCTCTGTTGTGCTCGTGAAAGCAACCGTAAACTTGGAAAGGAAGAGCAACACAGGCTGCCACAATTCATCCGCCACATATTTAAGATCTCATTACAAGTTCTCACCACTCACAATCCCACCGTCACAGGAAAGCTGCAACAGATCATAGCTGGGACATAACTGAGAGCAGGTCAATAAACTGGAGACAGTGGATCACGTGATGATGCAACACCACCTGATTGTGAGACAAGTTTACTACCCCTCTCTGACGACCTTGGGTGGATTGCTCTGATATCCTGCATCTCGTCCGCCCCCTGCGGTAAACGTTTTATTGTCCTGGATGCTTGTAACAGGCTGTCAGTCAGCAAGACATCCATCTAAAGCAGGTGACTGTTCAGGTGTGCCCGTTTTTTTCTTCTAATTTTGTATCAGTCCTTTCTTATTATCTTCTATCACCCTTTCATTTCTGTCAACCTTATCAACTTTCCCTTCTCTGTCCATAAACAGGGAAAATTACATCTTCATGATGTCATCAGACAAAGCTGCAAACATTTTTACAGGTACTGGAAAGCTGATAAAACCTCTAGTGAGGTAAAAATGTGACATGTTTTGTTACTTTCCTCAAGTTTAACAAAACCATCCTTGTGTATTTTAAATGTTTTGGTAAAATCTTCTAGTCTAGAAATCCAGATAAAACCATCGCGGTGACAGGTCGGTCTAGCCATGCTCCATTCTAGCCTCGGCAGGTCTGCCATTGGCTCGGCTAAGAACAGGCTGGGCCAATCACAGTGATCTACATTTGTAGAGACATTGGACGAGCTTAGTACCATTATGGCAGAAGAAATTTTTTATGACCACATTAGAGCTCGTTTGAAACCGCTTGAGCTGTTCTTTGAGACATGAACAGATAAAGAGACTTAAGTCCTTTATTTTTGAAAAATGACTGTATTTCACTTCTTCGATGCTGCATGGTGGACTGCTGCGAGGAATATGTCACATTGTTCGTTGCGCTGATTGGTCCTAGGACTGTCAGAGACAGTTTGAAAGACAGCCATGTGTTCAGACCCTATGATAGGCTCTGTCTATGGTCTGATTGATAATACAGTTGTATAGTGTTGTTATATCTACTTTAATTAAAGTTATTAAACACAAAAATAATATATAACTACTAGTGGAATAAATCATATCTACACAATGTAAATTAAGAAGAATGAGCACCCGAGGCTACTATTGGACTTAAATCATCTTGTCCTGGGTAATCACGTTACAGCCAACATCAGCAAGTACTTTGCATCACCTTCAGTGGTTTGTTTAATCATTTATGTGAA